TATCACTCTAAAATCATCAAAAAATGAGAAACGTTATTCCGTAACCCTCTAACATGTGGGTGTAATTGGAAAATTTCAAAAAAAGACAAATCAAATAAAAGTTATTGAAAAAATGTAAAAAAGATAGATAAGCCATAATATCATCTAAAAAAAACTTACCCAAACCCACTCATTAAATACTTTTTTCTTAGCTATGATATATTTTTCTTGATCATTCCATCCAAATCCATTAGAATTTTTTATATCACAAATTACATGATATTGTCTCTTAAGCAGTTTAACTCTAGATTCGATGTGGGGGTGGTTTTAAGTTATGAAGTAGGAATAACTTACTCCAGCATTTGTTCAATATAACTTTGATATCCAACTCAAAATGTTCCATTATCTGCTCTTCATCTAGGATCATCAGCCAAAGAATGTAAGTATTGAACTAAATGTAAATCCTTCTCTTTAGTCCATGAATGGTTACTAAAGCTAGAACTATCCAATCATCTTTTAGATGAACGTCGAACGGATTACGATGGATTGTTACGCAATGACGACATTTCAATTCTAATCACATGGTTAGACATTTTGAAACAATATCAATATAGTAAATAAAAAACAATTAAGGGAATGAAATAAACGAATACAAAAGAAAAAAAATCAATATCTTTTCCAAATTGTAATATTTATTGGATAATATCAACGATATGGTACATAAAATAAAAATCATTTGGATAAACAAATAATAAAATACAAAATATATCTATAATGTTATTATCCTCCAGATTCTAACCAATACGAAAACATATCAATAGCCAAATTATCTCTAAATCGAGTCCAATAATGAAATGGTTCAACATGCATAATCAAATGTTGATGATCGGATTCATCCGATTAGGAAATATTTTTTTCGGTGACATCCCCTTCAATATGATCAAAAATCATATCAGACTTAATGAAATTATAGAGAAGACAACAAGCAGAAATAATTCTACACTGTGTTTTAATTGAATAAAATGACTTCTCTTTTAGAATTGCCCATCTAGTTTTCAATATACCAAAACACCTCTTGATACAATTTCTTGCTTGAGAGTGTTTCATATTAAAATATTTCTATGGGATTGTTGGTTGGAGTCCTGCCTTTCAATCATTAAGATGGTATCGTTGACCTCTATAAGGTGCCAAAAATTCTTTCTTATTTATATATACGGTATAAATAAATAGTAATTACCTATTAAAATGATCAACAACATTACTAATATGGAAATGAGCAATGTCGTTATTAACATTACACGAACATAATACCAATAATACCTTGTGGGATCTTCAACCTATTTCTACATGTAAAGGCATCCCTTAACACTCTACCATTTATAACAAAACCTTCTCATCCCAGTAAAGCATATATGAATTGCATATCTGGCGTACAAACACCAAGGACATTGAAAGTAATTTCATTTTTTCTTGTCTTGTATCTAGGCCGATCAACTACGTAAACATTGGCACCCAAACAACCATTGAACCATTTCTATCTATTATCTATTGAATTTTTTGGTATGGGTTAGAGTTTTTTAAACAACAGAGTATGCAATCTTAATATAAGATTTAACACATAATGAAATTGTCTACTAATTGTCTCTCTAGATCTGACTACTTGATGCTTCGTAATCTTATTTTTTGTATGATGGACAATAATGTAGAAGAAGCTAATTAGTAATTCTTCTATTGACATATGTCTAAATGACTATAACCCTCTTCTGTTTTAAGCAAATGACATAATTTTGCTAAAGTTTTTCTGTCCATTCTAATATGATCTACACACTGTATATCGTTCTCAAAGACCATTGTGTTTAAATTTATCTCTCTAATACATAGGTTATCATAAGATGTTTCACCAAAAGATAGTATACGTTGTTTTCTTACGTTAATTTTTAATAAAGTTACAGCAACAAAACATAACAATTACAACAAAGTCTCAATCTAGTTTAATTGCATTACAAGCAATGTAACCAATTGTATCTTCCTTACTGAAAAATCAGCCATAACTGTTTAGAAAATTTTTTTTTGTTAAAGTTGAAATGTTGAATGAAAAGTAAATCTTGGCATATGATGAATGGATTCCCCCCACATCATCAAATAAAATATAAATCACAAAAAAAAATTAAAAGATTGGAAGGAGCTAAATTAATTTAACCAGAAAACATATAATATATATCATAAATGCCTTTAATCCAGAGTTAAATGACATATAAAAAAGAAATATAAGTTCATTGGAAGGCAACATAGATTACACACTATCAATCAAAAAGTATACACACCGTTTTGTGTAAAAATTGACGATGAACTTAATAAGACGAAGATTAAATAACAGATGAGAAAGTTGAAATTTTTCATAGGAAAAAGTAAATGCTATGAGTTGAGATATGTTGAAATATAAATTTCAATTGTATTTGTAATTAAAATATGAATAAGACATATTTGATAGTTATATTCTATTCTGCTTCATGATTAGATATTAGAACATTCATATTATTAGAACATAATCATCAAGAGGGAAAACAAAATTTTAATATGAGAATATTGAAGGCGGTTGTTGGAAAAATCTGCCTCAATTGATAACCAATGAAAGATTTTTTTATACAAATGCCTTAATCATTTATTTATAGGTGTATCTAAAGAAAGATCATGTCATAACACTTTGATTTATGAAAAAAAAAATAGTTTTTAAATAATGATCATTTAAGACATTTCTTGCTAAAAATGCCTTTACTAATCTCCATTCAATTTTTATTAAGGAATTTTCAATGCATTTTCTAGGCAAAAATGCCTTGAATAATCCCCTAATAAAAATTGAAGGGGATTATTGGCGTTTTTAGCCAAAAATACCTTGAATAACCTAATTCTCATTTTTGTAAAGGATTATTCAAGGTATTTTTGACAAAAAATACCTTTAATAATCCTCTCATAGAAATTTTTAGAGATTATTTAAGGTGTCTTTGGCTAAAAACGCATTAAATAATCCTATTTGATTTTTTATAAGAGATTATTGAATGCATTTTTATGCCAAACACCATATATAAACCAAATTTTTTACCAACATAAACTTACAATTATCTTGCATTTATTTTCAGACATACTTTTTAAAATAGTAATGACTATTTTAGGTGTTTTTATTCAAGTCAAATTTGGAAATAACATTATTTTTCCCTCTAGAATCCTAAAATACCATAAGGAGAGATGGGTTTTTAATTACGAGGCTTTAGGTACTGTTTGAAAAATGTTAGATTTCTCTAAAATCAGATGACCTTAAACCAAACGTTGGAATTAAATATCCAATAGTAAGATTCTGAGAAAAATGTGTAAACTCCCCGAACCAAATGCCCCTTTAGTAATCCTATGTGGCAATGATCTTATATCACTAAGAGTGATTAGATCACCTCTTTGGAGAGTGATCTACTTTTCATTCAAAGGGGTATGAAACTTTTATTATCAGGTTGAAGTGATATTTAAAATTAATGATAAACAATATTACCCATTTAGGTCATATTTGATACACAAGATTATGATAGGATAAAATAAGATGATATTATGAATAGAATTAGATTAAATAAAATCATTATATTTTGTGTTTGATGTATACAAGGATTAGGATATGATAATTTATTTATTTGTTAAAATTATCCTTCCTCAAAGTTTGTATAATTTAAATTATTGATGTAATTTCTAAGGGAATAATTGAACTTGTAAGTTTAATCCCATAAATTAAAAATAATCTTTTTCATTTAAGGAAGTTGAGAAGATTGAATAAGAATAATCATATACCAAAAGAATATCAATCCTTCTTATAATCTATATCCCTCTCTCTAGATACAAATTAAACATGATATAAGAAGATTATCATTTTATCCTATTAATAATTCTTTGTATAAAACATGACCCTAATATATGAATTAACAACTTATTTTTTCTTAAAATTAATTGTAATTATTTTATATTATAATTTTTATATTTTCAAACTAATATTCATTGTAACAAGTTCAGAAATATCTTGTGTGATTTTTTTAAACTTTTTAATATTTATATATAATATAATTTTTTGATTTTAATATATTAGTTTTTTTATAATTCAAATATTTTTTACATAATTTATACTATAAAAACTAATTTACTATAAATAAATATATCTTTAATTTAATAATTTGATTAAAATTATTATGAAGAAAATAAAATATTACTAATATTTTATATACAAATTATTATCTTTAAATAACATTGAAATCATTAATTTGTATATCTAATATAATACACAGTTATTTTGATGCTTTTAAACAGAACAATATTTAATTTTTAATAATACCAAATACAATTATTTTTAATTACTAAAAATTGATTATTTTTAATCAAATGAAGTGATTTCAAATCACAAATGATAAAATTATTTTAGTGATTATATTATCATGATGATCTTAAAATAATATCAAATACTACCTAAAAGGTTAATGCATTAGCCAACTAATATGAACCTTGAATTCCTATTTATTTTCAATATACTCTCACTTATCATTCACAAATATAATTTTCACAAGTGTCTTTCTCCCTTTTTGTACATTTCATTTTTGAATTTGAGAATAATTTTTCTATTATTTTTAACACATTTTTAATCATCATTCACAAATATGACATTTTCAATATACGATTCACAAAAAAAATTATTTTCAATACACTTCTAACCACCATCACAGAAATTTCTTTTCAATGCACTTTTAGCCCCCATTCAAAATAATTTTTACCATTCATGGAATTTTACATTTAAACGGGAATCTTCTCCCATTTCTTCTCCCCAAAAGAACTACCATTTTCAATTCACCAAATGAATTTTGAAAAAGAAAATTAGAAAATACCAATTAGATTAATTACTATTATACTATATTTGCAAAAATGAAATGAAAATGAAGAATATTTCCTATACACACGGTGGTCAGTATACTTGTTCTCTCCTAAATATTGCAGCCTGAGGGATGGAACCTGCATTTTGGCAGTAACTACTAAGGACACCATGCGAATAAAAGCAAAGCACCAAATAATTACGGATCAGCTAGTATTTAGGTCAAAGGTTTATCCCACATATTTTGTTCAAAACTCAAAGAAGAAAATAAAAAAAAGACAAATTTATGAGTTGAACACAACTATAGCCTATTAACAGAGTCAACATCCACACCAGTCTACTTGAATCAACAATGGCAACATTTTGCTTCTAATTCAAAGAACTGAATTTGACTTTCCCTCCACTCAAGTGATCAACAAGGAAAAACAAAAGAATAAAAAAGTTAAGGGGCATAGGTACCAAATATTATTTACAATGAGAGAAGCAAACACTCCCAGGAAGAGGAGCACTTCCTGTGTTAACAACATCAGACCGTACTAACTTTATTGGCACTAAAGGAAAATATCAAGATATGACCATGTTTAGATAGTTACATATTAAAGATAACCACCGATTCTCATTTGAGGATAATGACCATGTTTAGTTATTAACATACCTAAGCATACCTAAGCAAGCAAGCATCTAATATAGATAATTAACATCCCTACTTCATTCATCTTCTCTTAACTAAACCTTTACCGCTCACAACTGGCAGGACTAGTGCAATATTTTCTTCAGCTACATTTGCAAACCCCATAACATTAGCGTGGATCAAAGTGTCTATCCTTCCTTGGCAATCAGGTAAAGCATTACTTTCGTTTTGACTCCCATCTCCTTGCTTGAAAATTTCATTAGATGTGTTTGGCAACTCCAGGTTTCCATCAAAACAGATCAAATCTTTCAAATGATCAGCAACAATCTGCGACTTTTTGACCTCAGAATCAAGCAAAGAAACAGAAACCTCTTGTGAAGTAAGAGATTCTACAACATTAAACCTAAACATAAGAGACAGATGAGAGAGGCACAAACAAAAGAGCTTCTGCAGAAGTGTATAAAGTTTGAAGTTAGCAATTGCGCTTCTGATGCCAAAGCAGAGTATCGCTACTTGTTTCCCCAAATTGATCAGGCAAGGCTTCCCTTTCTTGCTGAATCTGATGAGGGTGGAGTCTCCCTGTCTACAAAGTATGGTCAGAAAAGGCATAAGTAATCCTTTTGTGATATGTGGAATATAACATAATCATAAGTGATACTTACATGAGGGATGATATAAGGGCGAACTAGAATCCCCACAAATAAGCCTAGAAAACATGAAAGTCCCAGGCCTAGGGTCCAGACTGTAACTGCTCCCAGCCCTTAAAAATAAAAATATACAAACAATAAATTATTATCCTTTCAGGTTAAGGGCAAGACTGATATTAATACATCCATTATAGGTTAGAATAATTCTCATTGATGGAACAGACTTTCCATTCCTGTAACAATAGTTCTCTAGAAATAATTAAAAGATAAAGTGCTATAGTCATGTGGTTCGAAAGAGGAAAAAGTTATAAGCCGATGTACAATTTGAGATTTGATCTTTTTAAAGTATAATACAAAAATTTACATCTGAGTGAATTTATTTGCAAGTATATATCATGCACATCTGACACTACCATCAAAGATGAATAAGCATCTCTAGCATATATCTTTACAGAAAGGATGAGGAATCACATTTTTCAGTAAACAACAAAATCAAGATGCATTTTACAGTTAAACAAAAAAAAAAAAAAAACGAAATCATATCACAGAACACTTAACAAAAGGATCTTTGGATTTCACTTGTTTACTATCTCTTGAAGCATGGACGTGTCAGCATGTCAAATGTGCACGTGGCATGAATGTAGATAGCATACAAACATAGATACTTTTTGCATCTACATCAACTAAATATATGCAATCCTTGAAGGTTGAAAGGTTTAAAAATTTCACTGACCACAAACCTTTGGTATATCTTGACATGAGTGTTAAAATATCTGCTAAAAAAAGAAGTGAAGATATTAAGCTATTCATAATCTATCTCTTTATCCACCTCAATGCAATGACAGAAGATTTCTCAGTATTTCTTACAAACTCAAATAATCCAAAATCATATAAACCGAAAGGAGCCAAAAGCCATCGTCCAGCCATACATGACAACAACATCCTAAATAAAAAAAAGTAAATGAAAACAAAAATCCACCAAACTGCTGGCAGTACAAAAACATTTAGCAGCTAAAGAACAAACCCAAATTATTAGTCATTGAAAACAACAATGTTAGTAAAAAGCACAAGAGTCAGCAACAGAGGACCACACCGTATGTCTATGAATTTCTAAAAAAAAAAATTTAAAACATGGAATTGATTGTCCATGAATCCCCGATATTGAAAGGTTGCGTTTGATAACATCAACTTGTAGACGAAATTAGCAAGCAATTTTATGAAAGTAAATTTCTGTACATATGCTGTGCATGCATCAATTAAAACAATAGATGGATACCGAAAATTTGGGCGGACGGAGAGGTTGTGGTGCAATCCTCAGGCTTAAGATCAATCAAGCGAACTGATTGACTACCGTGATCCACAACCAGTAAAATGCATCTCTCAGCAACTACAGCTAACTCAAAATCGTCTGCAAATGTTGCGTTTTGTGCCGGCCCGTCCTTTTTGCCTATTGCCTTTGACAAACCACCGGCAATCGTACTCACAGTACCTAAAAAAGTTTTTTTTTTTTTAATAACAATCGTGCCAAGAAATAAAAAAAAAAAAAATCTAATTAACAAGAAAAGGCATCACTAGTTATGGATAAAAAAAGGAAAAGACAAGTGAAACCTGAAGTTGAGATTTTCCTAATGACGTGGTTGCCCCTATCAGCGACATAAACGTTGCCTTTGCCGTCTACTGCGAAGCTTCTCGGTTTATTGAACCGGGCCAGCCCCAATTTCCCATCCCGATAACCCAGCTTTTCTTCTGATGATATCCGTTTTACCTCGCTTTCTGCATTATATATATATAATAAATACCAAATAATGAAATAATTAGTGTTGAGATACTCAGGAGACCTATTGTTTCCTTTTTCCTTTAAATAGTAAGCGGTAGAGGTGTAATTGTTTTTAAGTTCCAATTCGAATTGAATTTTGAAATTCGAAATTAAACTTGAATTTAATTAAATTTTATTTTTTAATTTAAATTTAATTTAAAATAAAAATTAAATTATTCAATTAAATTTAATTAATACGTAAAAATAAATTTAAATTTTATATTCGATAAAAATTTTATTATTTATGTTTGAGTTTAAATTCGTTATATTTTATTAATTAAAGTAATAAAAATATATTTAAATATAAAAATTAAATTAGATTCTCGAATTATTTAAATTGAATATAAAAATATTCGAATTCGATTTAATCGATGAGTTAAATTATTTAAATTCAAATTCGATTCAATAATAATTGAATTAAATTTAAATTTTATTTTAATTAAATTTAAATAATTTATAAATACTAATATATTATTTACAAAGTTTGATAAATGATAAGATACCGTTGGACAGGGGAAATGATACAGTGTAGAGATGACTATTGGAAAAATCAAGGAGTAGCAGATCAGAGGAACCAGGACGCGCAAGGACTGAGTGTGGATTTATGTTAAGCTTGTGGCCGTCGATCACTGTGGTCACCGTGTACCCCTCTTCCAGTATTAGCTCGCTTGAAACTGTAAAAGAAATTAGACATAACAGTTTCTTTAAAAAATGATAATAATAACGGTTTAAATAAGGAAAAATTCAGAGAAATTGATATTTTATTACCTGAGCAGAATAGGACGAAGAGAGTGATCCAAGAGAAGAGTGAAGCCATGAACACGACGATGACGATGATAATTTTTTTTTTCAAGTGTTTTCAGTGAAAAGCAAGCAAGCAAGATGCGTTTTTAAATCTTTTTTTGGTCAATAGCAAGTCAAGGGCTTTTGCTTTCTAAACTTGTGGAAGAAGTATCGGGTGAAAAACCCTTGTGGAAAAAGTAGTTATTCCTAACCATAAAAAAAAAAAATCTCTGTGGGCTTAAGTGTTTTCTACGCTACCTATGATTGTCATCAAAATTGATTTGATATTAAATAAATAGTTGTAAAATATAAGAATTATTATGATATAATTGTGGAGAAATTATTTTTTTAGGTGACATTAAAATAATGATATGTTTTTTTATGATATATTTAAAATATAAAAAATTAAAAATAAATATGTATCAATTTTTATACAATTAAAAATGAATTAAAAATAAAACATGTATTAATTTTTGGGTTAATTTTAAAAAATATATCCTGTGGTTAATTGATTTTTGGGTTTTGTTATTAAGTTTAAAACTAATAGAGAGAAGTTGGAGAATGATAAAGGAGTTTGATTTGGTTAGAGAAAGAATTGGTTTTGTTTTAAAAAAAGAGAATGAATTTTTAGAGAGATAATATGAATTTTAGATAATGAATATGAATTTTTATGAAAAAAATAAAAAAATAATAAAAAAAGATAATAATTTTTTATAAAAAAATAAAAAAATAAATTATAAGATAATTAAATGTTACGTTTTAAATTTCAAAGATACTTTTATTTCAACCTTAATTATAAGATATATTTATGAAATTAACTCTTAATGCTTTAATACCGTTTATAAAATTAAAAATTTTATATTAATAATATATCAAATATTATTTAAATATATATTGACACATTAAATATAAAATGTATATAGTTTAATTTTTATCAATTTTATATATTTTTTAAAATTTAAAATTATATTGTTTTAGATTTTTTATATATTTTTATATTTTATCATCCTAACTTACTTTAAATTATCAACCGTACATTCAGGTGCAATTGGGACCCATATCAGATTGCTTGCTGTAAGTGTTGGGCTTGATATGTTTCATTGGGCATATTAGGTCAGGGCATATTGATGGCTGGCCCAAAAAGTGATCTTTATGGAATTGGCCCACTTGGTAAAAAAATATTGAAAGTTTTCCTCCTTGCTTCAGAATATCATCATCCCTCCCGGTCAACTCATCACTCAGCTGCTTCCTAAGTGTATTACTTTCTGAAAAGATTTGAGTAGTACCGGTCAGGGTGAGAGGTGGTGGTGTGTGGGGATTAGGTTAGGGCCGGATGGGCTCAAGCCCAGTCTTATTTGGACCTGAAGGTTGGAGATGTACCCAAGTCCGCAAAACACTTGAATATTTTAATGTATAATATCTGTATTTTAGAGAAAAAGATGTTTGAAAACAACTCCGATTCTCTCTTTTAATTAATAGGGTTAATAGTACAAAATTATGATTCAATTCAATTCATGGCTTTTGCTTTTCTATTGCTAAATATTATAAATTTTATGGACTGGGATTTAGAGAGCTTAGAATGGTCCAAGTTTAGCTTCAGGCTTTTTAAGGAAAGCTCAAGCTCTCCATGAGCTCAAAATTTTAATACCAAGACTTTCTTTTTTTTCTTTTTTTTTTTCTGCCTATTAGATATTTAAAGTGTTGCTAAGTTTATGCTTTAATTAAAACAAAATAAAAGATTACTACTTAACGTAGGAATGTTTAATTATAAAAATATATATAGTAATTGGTGATGGATTTTTTTAAAATAAGTTAAGCTTGGTATTAAAAATTATAATATTACTATTCCAATGCATTGGTGGTCTTTTTTTTATTATTATTATTTTACAAGTTGATTTAACGAATTAACACATATTTAAATGTATTTAAAAATTAATTATTAAATAAATATAAATATAAATCTGCATGTGGAATAAAAGCAAATTTACTATCGATAATAATTTAAACTACTGAATAGTACATAATTAAATAATAAAATATCAATTTTACAAGCATAAAATCACAAATAATGTTGGGAAATATAAAAAATTTGAAATTTATTTAAAAATATGAATAAGTCATCAATATTTTATTGCTTGAGATTTATAATATTGTAATTAGATTATAATATGAACGGTATATGAAATAATTTTATTTATTTAATATGAATATATATAAATATATAAATTAGTTTCTTTTCAAATTACATTTAAATTTTTAAAACTCATAATATATATATATATATATATATATTAACTTGCCATTAAAAAAAAAAACTTTTTGAAAACAGTAAGAAAAAAAATGTCTTTCCTTTGAATATTTTTGTTTATAATAATATTTATACACCTGTAAATTATATCAAATAAAAATAAATTATACTTTTCTTAAAAAATAAAAATATATATTATTAAATGATAAATTAAATAATAAAAGAAGTATTAACATATTTTCACTTTAGTAATCTAGACTAAATTATTATGTAAAGTATAAAAAATGCTAGAAAATATGTGAAAAAAAAAAATTAAAAAAAAGATTATTTTTCATAAAAATGAAACTGTAATAACAATAAAATATATCTTGGAAAAAATTATAAACAAAAAAAAAATTAATAGAATATGCCTTGAAAAAAATTTACTGAAACAATAACAAAATTGATGTATAACACATTATATTTGTAGAAGAGTTTTTTAGTAATAATTATGATTAAATAGATAATTTTTAAATTATTTTTTAAAAATTTAAAATAGATATAATAAGTGATAAAGATAATATTAGTTTTTTTGCATTTATTTGAACTATAAATTTGATAATTATAGTTCAAATGAATATAATGGTTTTAATGATCTTATTATTGAAATATTTAAGATGAAATTTTTTTGAATTTTCATAATCTTACATAAAGTTGCTTGAATTTTTAATGTTTTGCACAAATTTTTAAAAAGATAAATTTTTAAATCAAGATAAAAATTTGTTGAAAGATTTAAATAAACTTAATCTTCATAAATTTTAAACATGTTTGAAAGATTTTGATAATTAAATAAGATTATTTAGTAAACAGCTAAAATTATTTATTAAAAAAATAAAATACATATTTTATGTTTTTTATTTTAAAAAATATATCTCTAAATTGATTTAATTTTTTACTATAATTTGAATAATTTTGATATATGAATAAATTTAAAATGATCTAATTTATAATTAAAAAAAATTATCTTATTTTTAAAAAATTTTTTTATGTGTCATTTAAGAGAGTTATTTGCATAGACGCCTATGTGATAAATTTGTTTATGTAAGTTATTATAATATATATATATATATGACTAGAATTTGACGAATTGTTTCATTAGATCAAATCCTAAACATGATTTTTTGAGCTCATTTCGAGCTTGATCTAAGATTTTCTTTAAATTATTTTTTATTTAATTTTAAATATATTTTAAAATTTTAAAATATTAATTTTTGTAAATATTTTAATATATATTTAAAATATGAGTAGGGTTTCTAAAAGATCATCAAACCCCATTTGATCCATGAACATTTTAATTAAAATCTTAAAATATAAAATATTTATTTTTTTTTGAAAATCTTATTAATTGAATGATGTAATTTATAAAAAAATATTTATTTAAATGAGATAAATGTCAAATATGTGAAGGAATTCTATTTAAAAAAAATATGGTAATTAGCTTTTATTCATCAATTTTTAAAATTTAACGAATATAATTATAACGAAATAAAAATTCATTACTTTAATTTCATCCAATAAAAATTGAGAGTTTTTAATTTTAGCAAAAGTTCAAGGTGTATTTAAGTATTATTACAAATAATGCTCAGTTTTTATTACAAAAAATAATGCTTATTTTTGCAGTAGGCAAAAAAAATGTTAAATCTGGAGGTGGTAGCCATAATTTTCCAAAATTGCGAGCCCATCACTTGTGATTTGTGAAGCTTATCAAATTGACTGCAATGAGGGTGTTTAACAATAAGAAAATATTAAAAAAAAAAAAAGGAAAAAACGTTTAATAAGTAGACAACGACTTCCTTCCGTCGCCGTTATTTACAAATCTCTCACTGGCCAATGAAATCGCTCCTTGACACGTGACCGCAAGAAGGCGAAGATCCAACATGCAAATTTAACCCAATAGCAGATCTGGAGTCATTTATCCATTTTAACCGGGGGTGATCTACTCAGCACTCGCAAATGAAAATTTGAGTGCTCCCGTCTTTCCTTCCCCAGTTCCCCGTTTCGTTGCGTTTAGTTTTTACAAAGACAAAAGAACCAGCCAGCATTTTAATCGTCACTGGGAAAAAAAGAAGAAAAGGCAAACAGAGACTTTGTTTTCTCTGTCGCTCAGATCCAAATCTCTGTTTGGTTGTCTTTCTCAGATCTCCGTATTCCAACGTTTGGATCTTGAATTACAGATTCTTAGATTTGTGAAAAAATAATTCAATTTCATTCCGAATAGCGCTAATTCGGTGATTGATTTAGTGCAGCATTTGATTTACTTTTGATTTGATTGGATCTGATTTGAGCTCTCTACAAAAGTTTCAACTCTGTAACCAATCATGAATCCTTTCTCTTCAGGAACTCGTCTACGGTAAGCACCAATTCGTCCCTTTTCCTTTTAATTTGTAAATCAGATCAAGAACACGTGATTTTTTTTTTAATTTGAATGGATTGGTTTTATTATTGAAACAGTTGGGGTTTTGTTCAATTGCAGTTGTTTGATTGCCATGATTGAAATTTCGGAAGTTTGGTTGTAGTTTGTGCTACTTAAAAGACGATTGCGTCTGAATTTAGAGCCAAGTGGAGTTTGCTAGTTTTTTTTTTTATTGGTTTTGTTAATTTGGTTCGTGTAGTTAGCTTTGTCTTTTCTTTTTGACATGCTTTGAATTACTTGCAACTATGGATGGAAATGTAGAAATGTCTGAAGTTATAGCATATCCATTTAATAATTGGTTTGAGAGTAGCTTGATCTTGATCTATTTTATTCATGAATATTAATAATATGAATGATGCGCCAAATAGCATTGGTCCCAGAACGTACCATTTTCTAGAGAGGAAACCGAAATGTCCACCAGTTTGGTACTACAAACCTTACTT